AAGTATAAGGAAGGTAGTTAAAGACGTGGTAATATCATGTGATATATATATCCGGAATAAGGCTATATACTATACTCCGTATAGACTCATGAAGTCACTAATAATACTACCTCGCCTATAGAAATTAATCGCTTTAGATTTCGTAGTTAAGTTACTACTCTTAAAAGACCTAATTATAGGAATTATATATGACTTAATTTATATAATAATAGATAAGTTTATGAAGTACGTGTATATAGTACTAGTACTTAGGATATAAGACGCGCTTATAATAACGCAGGTATTCCTTAGAATAATCTTTATAAGCTACGGAATACTAGATAAGATTATCTTAGATAGAGATAAGCTCTTTACTTTAAAGTTCTAGAAAACTCTTATTACGCTCTTAGGAATAAAATAGAAAATATTAACTATATTTTATCCTTAGACTAATATATAGATAGAACGAATTAACTAAATAATAGAGACTTATCTTCGGTGTTATATAAACTATAAGTAGGATAACTAGGTGCAACTGCTCCTACTTACCTAGTTTATATATAATAGCGCGGATTAAGAGACTATTAGAGTATCACTATTTTACGTGAATTATAGGTATAATCCTACGGTATATAATTCACTAATAACCGGTTAAGGAACTACGTAGGAGGCTATACTATAGGCAGATAGGCTTAAGTAGCTTTATAAAGAATTATTAGCTGATATTCTCTTTATTATATAAAGATCTACGATCTACTATAATAGAAAGTGTAGTATAGGACTAACGCTTAAAGAGGGGGATAAAGTCTACTTACTTAGAAGAAATATTATAATTAAGTGACTAAGTTATAAATTAGATTATAAGAAGCTAGGACTATTTAAGATTACTAAAGTCAAGGGACTAGTTAATTATTAACTAGCTCTACTAAAGATAATAAATATCTACTTAGTATTTTATATATCTCTCCTCGAACTAGCACTACTAGGAGCACTACCGGCTCCTATTACTGAAATATAACTAATTAATCCGAACGCTAAATATAAGGTAAAAGCTATTCTTAACTATTAGTATTTCTATAGTAAACTAAAATATCTGATTAAATAGAAAGGGTACTTATAATCAGAAAACACTTAGAAACCTAAATCTAACCTCCGCTACTTTAAGCTTCTATAGAGATTCTATTAAAGAAATCCAGGTTTACTTAGAAAGAAAGGGACTTAAAGTTAGGAGCCGGGCCCTTAAAGAAGGACGCTAAGTAGGTATTAAGTTCGAAAGTAAGGAACTAAGAAGTAAAATTATCCTTAATAAGCTTATAAGGAGGCGTTAGAAGGCGAGTAGAGGTTATAGTTTTTCCTATCTTAAACTGATATATAGGTTATTTAGAAGTAAACCTCTTAATATACCCCGAGGTATTATAATCGTAATACTTTAAGTAAATACACTTAAAGTATTATTTCGAAATAGATAAATCTAAGAAGTAAGTATAGGAAAAGCTATAATAGAAGGAATAAGATTTTACGAGTTATATAGTACACTTGATATAAAGCGCGAGCTAGATACTCTGTTTTTTCTTTATCTAAGCGATACTCGATTTCTTTATAATACTAGATATAATAGATAAGGAAGATAGTTATTAGTAACTATCGACGTTTCTTAAGGTTATACTTAAGCGTGAGGACTACGCTAAGCTAAGAGAGAGATAGTATTATAAACCCCTTAGCGCTATAGTTCAGTTAGCACCTATATAATAATAAAACTATTAGTAGTACTATAAGAGTATTAGTACTAATAAGGGAGTAGTACTATCGATAGGGTAGTACTAGCTAAGGAATAATATAAGATAAGCGAGTAGTACTACTATATACTCACGCTTTAGTAGTAATAGTTACTTAGATTATAGTAGATAATAGGTTATATAATAGATCCCTAGATCCTTAGATCCTCTTATAGGAAAACGGATCTAAGGATCTAAGGATCTAGTATCCTAAGGGATCTAAAGTAAATAAAGGTTCTATATAAGATTAGTATATCTACTATTAAATAGGAGCTTTGTGCTTAACTTTAAATAGTATTCTAATACTTAGTAACTATCTTCTATCTATATGATATACCTACCTCTTAATTATCAGAGATTAACTATAGCCTTCTGTATTTATAGCGAGTAAATACCGGACCGTTACACTCGCTTTCCCCTACTAACAACTGGAATTCGTTATATGCCAGCTTCTATATAATTGTTATTAGTAGATCGCTTAAAGGAGCCTAGAACTAGTTTACTCTTATAGTTTACTAGGTACTAAGCGCTACAGTTATTTACTAAGGTACTCTCTGATAGTACGTAAGGGATATTAATAAAGTCCGCGGCGTAGATTCCGAGTGTCTCTTTAAGGTCTAAGAGCTTTAAATTAATAGTAGCTATATTAATGTTTCCGGAGTACTTCCCTTTAGTATACTAAGATAATAAGTCTTAGTCTTTACTAGACTTCTTTCTAGTGATCTATATAACTAAGATAGTAGCCTAACCTTCCTTCGAGATCTCTTAGCGTAGTTCTATATACTTAGGCGTCTAGGCCGCCTTACGAATCCTCTTAATTTATTCGTTATTTAGACGGAATCTTATACTATTAGCTTAAAAGCTGTTATAGGCGAAATAGAGCTTCTAGCACTTAATCGGAGGATACCGGTATCTAATTCCGTAGGGGTAATCAGTCTTCCTATCTCTTTAATTTAAATAGGAGCGATTCCGAGAGCTTCTGGAATAGTCTTATGAGCCTCCTAAATTAGAATAACTACTTAGTATTAGCGTGGCGTAGAAACTATTAGCTCCCTTGCCTCTGTTCTAGTAGTACTCCTCTATATTTACTGTAAACGCTAGACTATACTCCTCTAGTGTTATACTATACTAATATCCTAGAGTATCGTCTCTTATAATATTAGCGAGTACTTAAGTAGCTTAAGTCTCTAACTAAACTAACACTACGTTTAGGAAAGCTCGTATACTACGTACTCCTTATATATTAGGAATATTATACGTTCTCATAAGACAGAAGTTCTTTTACTATAGCTTATACTACGTACAAGGTTTAATTCATGACTTCTTATCTTAACGTGTTAGTAAGCTAAGTATATTAGTATAGTCTGAAATAACAAAAGTTAGTACCGCCGCGTCTAAAGGTACTATATCACACTTAATAGACCTGACTAGCGCTTATAGTCCTACGGCGCCCTTAGTAGTATTATTATTAATTACATCAGTTAGAATAGACTAGCTAATAGTACTATTTACCTAGTTAAAGAAGTTCTAAATATAGTTATTAAGCGCTATTTATTCAGCTAGCTTATTCAAGTACTCTCTTATTCAAGCTTCCCAGAGTACTTTAATATCTTTAAACTTAGCTTCTAAGGGCTTACTTATAGATACCGGCAGTTCTATTATACTCTCTCTTTCCTTAGTAATAATAACGTTCTATTTCGCTAGTAAATCTAGGTCAGCTTATATTAACGACGCTATCTACTTACTAAAGCGACTATTCGTCTCCTCTTATATAAAATCATTAATACTTAGGAGATTCAGTTATTACTTAACGATATTTCTAACGTTATTAGTGTTAAGGTTAATAAATCTCCAGATTCCTTTAAGTTTAGTATAGTACCGGAAAGTCATCTACTACTAAAGCTGCTACTTTCTCTAATCGAGAGTATCGCCCTTATATTTAATTAACTTATCTTAAAGGTACGTTAATATATCTAAGAGGCTTTCTATAGAACTAATAGCGTTAAGAGTATTTCAGGAAGTTCAGGGAAGTATTTAAAGGAGTTCTTCAAGTAGTAGTATAAGTATCTCTTAACACTACCTGCAACTCTACCTATACTATATAGTATACTCGTATAGTAGCTTAAACAAGCGAATATAGCTCTTAACTATCGTGTACTATAGGGAGGAGCTTTATATAATATAAAAGTCTTGATTTATTAAGGTATTTTAGAGCTCCCCTATAAGGGGAAGCTCCAGGAGTTCTAGTTACATAAGCATCCTCTGGTTAGCTAGAGCGCCTTAGAGAGTGCCTCAGGTACGCCAGGTGCACGACACCTATACTATAGAAATATATAAGGTAATCAGGGGGTACAGGTAATCCTAGTTAAGGGGTGGACCCCTTTCGGATATAAACCGGGGGTTATTCGGGAGGTAGTATATATTCTGACCCTTAGATACTCTTTATAATATATAATTTTAAACACCTTTAAACTAAACCTTTGATTTTAACGTATATCGAGATACACTTGTTATTTGTTTACCGGCACGATACCAACAGTAAGAACTAGCGTTCAATACTCCATTCAACGGTGAATACCGCTTCGAGTGGTAGTCCCTTGTACCCCTGAATTGCTGGACATACTAAGCATAAGCCCAGCTCTTGGTACCCCATGGCCTGCTGGGCAAACCACTGAAAATCACACCGCGGCCCCGCGCCCAGGCTGCTAAAATGCTTCAACGGAGACCCTGAATGCTTTTTTCGATTGTAAGGCTTAGAGATGCGATAGAGGGGGAATAATGTGATCGAGAGAGAAAGGAGAGATTGCAAGATTGTTTGTATGGATGAACTGGTGTCTAGCAGAAGTTTAAATTCAGGAAGGTCCGGACTGTCCGCGCACCTGACATCTCTACTGTAAACACCGCCCCCCTTTCGCTCGCCCCAATCAAGGGGGCTTCCCACCTAAATTGAGCTAGCCGCTAAGATTATCATCGCGCTGGAATCCTGAACCTGAACCTGACAACCTGCACGCATCTGCACTGCTCATCACTACCCTCTCCTCTCCTCGACCGATCTAGCTACCAATTCCTCACGCTCGCCACTAGGCTTCCTGTCTTTATAACACACAGCATACAACGACCACTTCTTCTCCCTCGATGTGCGACTCTCGATTGAAGTAGTTCACGCCGTTCGTTTTTAATCTGGGGACTCGAATTCCACGAATACAGTCGCATCATTCCACCTCGGGCTGTACAAACACTTTCACTATGTTATCTACTCTCGTTTCTCGTGCTGCGACAGCGCTTGTCCTTGGGAGTGCAGCCGTAAATGCTTTAACGGTTGATATCACATCTGCCTGTACGTACCTTAAGACTCCGGACAGACCGCTCAAAACAACTCTGACAGTTCTAGCATCTATCAAAGACACTGCTGCAACGATAGCCTACGACATGATGACATTCTATAAGGGAAACCAAAGCGGTGGAATAATCGGCGTTCTCCCAGGCCCTCCTCCAAACCCTCCAAACGGCTGTACGTCTCTCAGCCTCTCCCTCCCTGTCTTGTACTAAAACTAACAACAAAATAAACAGACTACTGGTGGGAATCAGGAGCTATGTGGGGGACTCTGATCGATTACTGGCACTACACAGGCGATTCCTCATACAATGATGTAACTGCAAAGGGTATCCAGGCGCAGGTGGGCGAAGACCTTGATATGATGCCGCGGAATTGGTCGCAGAGTATGGGGAATGACGATCAGGGTTTTTGGGGAATGACAGCTATGAGTGCTGCGGAGACGAATTTCCAGAATCCTCCTGCGGGGTCGCCAGGTTGGTTGGCTCTGGCGCAGGCGGTTTTTAACACGCAGGCTAGGAGGCCGGATAATCTTTGTGGTGGAGGGTAAGTTATGCTTTCCCGTAGCATTTGAAGGACGAAACGGAAGGGCAAGAGAATGTGAGCTGGGCTAATAAGACTAGGTTGAGGTGGCAGGTTTACCCATATCTCACTGGGTATGATTACAAGAACTCGATTGCAAACGGCTGCTTCTTCAACATCGCTTCCAGACTTGCTCGGTACACGAACAATAACACTTACTACGAACATGCTGAGACGACCTGGGATTGGATCAAGAGTGTGGGGTACATGGATAAGAATTATAATGTTTATGATGGCGGGCATATTCAGCATAATTGCACGGATATCAATAAGGTGCAATTCTCGTACAATGTTGCGGTTTGGTTGCTTGGGGCTGCGAATATGTACAACTACGTGAGTCCTACCTCCTATAGACGTCTAGACTTACTTTCCATTTCCCTCCACTTGTTCTGTTTGTCCCAAAGCTAACATCTCTAGACCAACGGCAGCGCCATCTGGGAAGAACGAGTCAACCTCCTCCTCAACTCTACCTTCAACACCTTCTTCCCCAACGACATCGCCTACGAAGTAGCCTGCGAGCCAAAACTAACCTGCACCACGGATATGTACTCCTTCAAAGCCTACGTCACCCGCTGGCTTGCGGCCACCTCCCTTATAGCCCCCTTTACACGCGACCGTATCCTCCCTAAACTGAAAACCTCCGCCGTCGCAGCTGCAAAGCAATGCTCCGGCGGCGACAATGGCCGTATGTGCGGTCTCAGCTGGAGTAAAGGCGAAGCCTGGGACGGCACCCAGGGCGTGGGACAACAGATGGCGGCGATGTCAGCGCTGTTTGTTAATTTGCTTCCGTTGGAGACGATTGCGCCGCCGTTGACGAACGCGACGGGTGGGACGAGCGAGGGGAACCCGGATGCTGGGAGTCATAGTGTGGTTAACCCCGAGGCGTTGAAGCCTGCTACTGGGGGGGATAAGGCCGGTGCGGGTATTGTGACGACGTTAGTATTGGTTGGTGCTACGGCTATGTTCGGGTGGATGAGTATTGGAGATTGAATAAAACCTTTTGTGGATAACTTGAGAGGAGAAGACAGAAGATGACAGGTGTAGGAATAGGGTCTGCCTTTGTGAGGGGCCTTAATAGTGCTTGCTTTTCAAAAGCGTGAGTTGATTGCAAGGAAAGCTTTGTTCTTGCTCTGGGAGTTTCTCAATTTCTTCTATCCAACAAAGATCTGGAGGGGGTTTGGAGTGGGACATGGCGTTTGGTGCTCGGCTGGGCTGGGTAAGTCGGTCTGGGTTGGACTGGATAAAGTACCGTGTTAACCTGTCTGTAAGGTACGGCGTTTTGTTTAATTATGTTCAATACAATGCAATAGTAAAACCTGTCATACGATTGTCACTTCTGATCAACTTCAGTTTAGTGCGATTACGATTCGAGATGCGCTTTCTTTTAGGAAATGCTCTTTTCAAGTTTACTCACTATCGGTTCTGATGACAGGAGAACAAGTTAATATTGATAGGAAGAGTAGTAGTAAGTGCGAAGAGCGTCGTGTGAGTCTACAAAGATTTAGTACTCCATCCAACGGTCCATGCCGCTTCGAGTGGTAGTCCCTTGTTATCCTCCGCTGGCGCTCGTAGCTCATACACGCGTGGCCCAACCTTCGGTGCCGGGCCTGTCTTGGGCTCCACGGGCTCTTCCACCTCTAGCAAGGCGAACCGATTTTCCAGTGTCTTCAAGATGTTCCCCGAAGAGGTTGCTTTGGTAGATTCGGTCCTGGCGAAGACCGCAAAACAAGGCTGAAGAGCGGAGAGACCTCTTCCATCAAGGAGATGAAATATGAATAGCCGCGATTGGCCGCACTCGTCTGTTCGTCCTCATCGTCTGTTACTTTCCAAAAGAACTCGGCACTTCGCTTACGTGCAGAGATCGCACGGAGACCAGCTCGGATGATATCTGCAGGGACTTCGATGGGCTTCTGGCAGGAAACAATAGCATATGCAAGAGGGAAGCAGCTCGCTACTGTTGACGAGGAACTCATTCGGGTTAGCATCTTGGACGAGCTGACCGCAGCTGAGGGATTAGCTGTGCCCTTCTTGGCCTCTTCCCGAGCCTTCCCCTTCAATCGAGGTACTTTGGGTTGTTCTACGTATGCTTCATTGGTCGGGGCCGTCAGCCTGGAACGGAGTTAGTCTACCCTATGCTCAAATAGCCACTGAACGAGATGCTTATGCTTTGCGACTTTGTGCCCGCATTTTGTTCTATTGTCCAAAAGCCACTTGATGAATATGGATGTATCAGTCTTATACCGTTTATAGTTGCTGTCTAGAACTCCAGACAACATAATGAATGCAGTTTACAAACACTGTTCGTTTGCTCCTGCTTCATGTGTCTTGGGGTTACACTACAGATATAATACAGAACTCAGTAGAATGAATGAAGGATAGAGAAATAAAGACATCAGATTGTGCGTCAACTCGAGTTGATGCAGGATCAAAGTAGAGGAAAGCAGCCCCATCACGGATACTTTTTTTTTTTTGAATCCAGTTTATTGTCCTTTTTAGCTATTGCTGCTATGTAAGACATTCCGTTCCTACAGTAATTCAAGCTCGACTTTACAGTGCTCACATAAGAACTCTCTCCCTTTTGATAACGTGCCTTCCTTATATAATGACCAGATCAGCCCCTATTCAGGTGCACCTTCCGACAGGTACAAATACCTATGGTTTATACTCCACGACTGAGGAGAAACGACAAAAACCTCAACCAGCTGGTCCTTATATTCAGCAACTGCGCTCTCCAAGGGGAGGATTTCCGTAGAACTGTGACATGCACACCTTTCCTCGAAAACCCACGACTCCTCTAATCAATTCCTGGAGTATAGCTCTCCGTGTTTACTGTGTGCTAGCGGCCTTCGATCCACCGGCTCTGAGGCGCAGTCCAGGGCGCAGTTCTGGGGGCTTGTCTAGTGTTGCGCATCTCGGTAAAGCCCATGAGCATGAGCTGACTGGGACAACTCCGGCTTGGACAATCTTAAAAGTACATAAACAACAGCATATCCACCTCTCCCTTTCTCTCTCTTTTTATCCCAACCTACTGTCTTTATCATTAATTCTAGTTCTGCCTCTCTCTACACCAGTTTCCTCTGCCTCATCCTCGAAAATTACAAACAAACCCTGACAGATAGGTTAGACAACAAATCCCACCAAAATGCGTTTTGCATCCACTTCCGTCCTCGCTATCCTGGCTCTCTCCTCCCAAACACAAGGCCAAAACCTCGGCGATACCCTTAACAGCCTCACCTCTGAAGTCGGCGGCGCAATCGACACTGCTACCAGCCTCGCAGGCGGAGCCCTTTCCACCGCAACCAGCGTCCTCGGCGGCGCCCTCTCCACAGGAACAAGTCTCGCAGGCGGCGCATTCTCCTCAGGAACCAGCCTCGCAGGTGGTGCATTCTCTAGCGGTACAAGTCTCGCCGGGGGAGCATTCTCGACCGCTACAAGTGCTGTGGGAGGAGCCCTGTCAACTGCCACCAGCGCGCTGCAGTCAGAACTGAGCGCTATTGCGTCTGAGGCGTCGGCGCGGGTGTCGAGTATTGAGAGTGTGGCATCGACAGCTACGGGCGCTGTGAAGAGCAGCTTAGCGAGTGAGGCGAGCAGTATCAGTGCTGCTGCCGCGTCGAGGGCCAGTTCGGTCGGTGCGAGGGTATCGAGTGATCTGGCTGCTGCAACGGGTAATGGAAATGGAAGCCCAACCAGCTCGTCGACCGCGGGTGCGGCGGTGATGACTGCTGCTCCTATTTGGGGGGCTGCTATTGGAGCGGCGTTGTATCTGATCTAGATGGATTGCACTGTATTGTATTGCTTTGTGTTGATTGGTGTTTGGTGGATTGGGGCATTTTAACATAGTGATTTCCTGGGTATGCTTTTAGGGGAATAAAATTGTATATCTTATCGTTATGCCATTGAGCTACATGATATAGCGATTCCAGAAATGAATTGATTCATATCAACCACATTCGTGGATACTATATTGTATTTTGAAGCGTCGAAAGAAACGTATAGCTATATCTCCCTTGAGATTATCGTCCTAGGTTCTCTGCTCGGTTTGTCTCCTGCTTTTGTCTCCAGCTCCCTGTGCCCCTCTTGTCCTACTATATGGAGATATCAGTTCAGACTACAATCCTGACTTTAATTTAGTGGCCTGGCACAACGGAATAGGTCACCTTAGACAGCAGAACATCAAACGGCTCCCTATTCTCTATACGGTATCAGCCTAGAGAAGAATCCTCCAGACTATTTATGCGAAGCCTGTGTTACGAGGTACTTAAGCTACTCAACTCAGTCTTAACGAATCGCTCATCTACCGAATCTCCTATCATCAACCATCGCCTGTCCCCCACAACCCAACACTCACGCTGCTGTCACTCAAAACCTCAACTTCTACCTCATCCACTCCACCCCTCCCGCCAAGCCTCTCAACAACGACCCACAGTCCACCCTGCCTCTCCATGCCGGGACTTAAATCTAGATCCGCAGTACGGATTCCCATCGGACTATCACTGAACTCTCTATTGTTACTCACGTCAATGATGCGCTTATTTGGCCCTTGCCCGAGCTCGATAGAGATCTTAATAAGCGGACGAGACCGCGACGGAGAAAACCGTGAACTCGTCGTCGTAGTAGGGCCACGTGCTATTATCCTCAGCCTCGTAAGACGAGAGGGCATAATAGGAGCAAGCATCCTATCCACCCCATCCTGAAAAATCAGAGCAGGAAGTCGAAGTGAAAGTCGTCCAGCAGTTTCCGCCGCAACAGGAAGAACAGTACATGGGACTTGTGTGCCAACTCGTAATGTGAAATTGCCGGTTTGACCAGCTTCAAAAGTCGAGCAGACGATAGTATACTTCCCCGCTGCAACAGAGGGGAGAGATGCTAAGGCACAGCCGCGACGGTAGTCTCCTGATCCGCCCACTATGTCCTTGCTTGTTACAGCTGTGACGCGATTGCCGTTTGCCCAGACGAGCTTGACGTGTACAGCGAGCTCTTCCTGGTCTGTTTCAAGGATGAGAGTGACTGGTGAGGTCGAGGGGAGGAGGATGCTAAATTGTGGGTTCAGAGGGTACGTTGATGCGGAGGCGTTGCCGCCTGCAGTGCGGGATGTCCAGGATCCAGTGTTTGTCGTATAGTACGGGAGGGAATCAGGCGCCGTAGCAATTGTGAGTGGTGAGCGCGAGAAGAAGGAGAGTGTGAAAGAGTACTTGGGAAGGGGGAGGCCATGTTGAGCGACGACGACCGTGTATGGTGTCGAAGGCAAAACGTCAAGTGTTGCAAGAGTTTGGGGAGAGTCGACAAAAGCACCGCGGTAGAGAGCGTCGTCGCTGAGGTAGACTCGCTGACCAGAGGCTGAAAAAATGTAGAGACTAATAAAGCCGAGGGCTGAAGAGCCAGAAGGGGACGAGAGGGTGTGAGATGAATGGCTATTATTACGAGCTATGTTCTCTTCTCCGGTAGCAAAATGACGAGAGAGGAGGATCCAGACAGCTGTTGAGCTGCTAGCACTTACGGCGTATTGTGGATTGTGAATAAAACTTCCCGGGCTCTGGATGGTGGGAACAGTCCATGTAAAGTGATGGTCTTGACGATGTTTGAAAAGTCCTGGATTCCAGTTAAGGTACAATGATTCGAAGTGCTGGGACACATCATCGAATGACATCCAGAATGTACCGGGAGATAAAGGAGATTCCTCAGATAGGAGAGCTTCCTTCAAATCCGACGTCCAGGCTTGGTTGGAAGTATCAGTTGGGTTGAAATGAGAACCTTTCCAGACCATCCCATCACACCAGGGATTCTTGACGAGCATCAAGCGTTGAGAGCCAACTTCCTTCAAATCGAGAATTGCATAATCGTGTTCACCGGCTAGACCAAGAGCCTTCTCTTCTTTACGAGACAGCTTGCCAGTCCCGAGAGTAATCAGGATATCTCCGTAGTTAAAGGATTTATGTATTCGTCCCCAAAGCTGCTCGGGTTGGAGATCATCACTATAAGGAGTGAATAAATGCCTGAGAAGAAGTGGTCAAGCACTAACCTCTGGAGAAAGACTTGTTCCGGTATCCACCCCGTTAAAACCCAGAGATCTGTTCCAGAATTAGAACCTGGGAAATCATATCCTCCTCGTACTTTTAGATAAGCTTTTTCTATCAGAGCAGGCCATAGTAGCTCGGGATTGTTCCGGTCGATCACATGAAGACTTCTTGCAGTATTCGAAGCGGGCAAGCGGTCATCGATGACCACCTTTCTATGACAACCATTGAAAAAAAGTCGAAATATGTACTTTCCGTTTTTGGAAATACGAGGAGTCATGCTAGGTTTGTCATGTGGATAGATGATAGAGGCTAGCAGCTTTCATCGACTTTAGTGGTGAAAATATCATTAACAGTGAGAGAACGCTACCTTTCCATGTCCTTTAACTGCTCGTGCTGTACCTGCACACAGACTGGCTACCACAGAACAATCTGTGGTGATGTCTTGTACGAGATCCATCTCGGTGGTTGAACTCATCAACTTATCACTCTTGGGGAAAATTTCTTCTGGTCGTTTCCACCCGCTAAAGTTGTCTACCTGGCATTTGGACAACTTAAGATCCCCTGGTTCACTGAGTTCGTTAAGCAGGAGATACTAAGGGGAGGGTAATTACCTACGTGTAGTATGGCGAGCCATTAAAGCCTTCTTCGAAAATCGAATCGTCAGGATCATTTGACCATGGCGGAAATATAAAGCCGTGAAGCTTCGAGCCTTCGAGCAGGATGAGTTCTTCGCGTCTCGAGATAGCTCTCTGAGACACTGGAGCTGTTAAAGAGGTATCATTTTTGACAGGAGTCCATCCTTCAGTTTTCTTGATCTGCTCGGCTCGTGAAAGCAATTCCTTACACTTTCCCTGGAGTCTCGTCTTAGCTCGATCGTTGCTGACAAGACCAGTGGCTTTTATGTACAGCTCAGCAGCGGTAATTGCGGCTTTCAAGGCATCATCTTTGGTAAGTGATGAATCTATGCTGGATTCAGCTGCCTGTAATAGGTAAGTGCCTGATATATCATAGTAAAGTGTAGAGGCGAGTACCTGAGCTTTAGCCTCCATTGTTAAAGGCCTCATGTGGTTTTATTGTCCCTATGAAGTCGAGGTATACAGGCGCTAGAAAGAAGAAGCAAGTCTCATATCACCACATGAAAGCTAAGAATGTCCAATCTTCTGCAAGACTGTGAGTTCTAAGGATGAAACATCAACGCCTTGCTGTGACGGTGCCTTAGGCAGAAGCGGCTAGACGCTCCTACGGGAAGCCAAATGAATCACTTGTGCGGAACGTCCTATACTGTATTTTAACCTAATTATTTCTCCACCTCTAAGTCTTGTGATAACAATTCTAAGTAGTGAAAATATTATCTAAAATGCAACTGATTTTTTGCTATATTCAAAATTAAGATTAATAGCAGCTTCGCAGTAGAGGAGGGGGTTTGAAGACGTAACTTTATCGCACAGCTGTCCGACCCTTAACCTTACCTTGCGACGGCCTCTAGCCCTGAATGATACCAATGCAGTAATTTCTCGAGGTTCGGAGGCATTATTATTCAAAAGCCATCATCGGCTTGCGCTGCACCGCCATTTGCCGGATGGTCGTGCCGTGCGTCAGCGTCTTGTTCAATAGCCGGAAATTGCCAATTCAAGCCGTTGATTTTAACATTCGAGCTGCTCGTTGGCAGTTGCACTCACCCACAAACCCGCTTCCCCAACGGTGGGGCTGGACGCCCCTGCCCCTGCGCCCAATGACCTCCAGCTCTTCTCCGGTAAGGTATAATTAAGGCCGATACCTTTAATTTTACTCTCTTTTCAATTCTTCTTAACTGTTCTATTGTTATTCAGAATAGTAAAGATATTTAACGCTACTAAAAGTATATTTCCAGAATTTTCCTAATATATCTCTACTAACTCCTTCCTACTAGTCGCGAAGTATAATGCCCTAGAATCCTACTAAGTGAGTCTTTATAGCGATATCTAGGATATCACGGAATTCCTTCCTAACTACCTTAGTAGCTTAAATATAATCCTTAAGCTAACCGGCCGCGATACGATAGAAAAATATAACTTATTATATCCTTCGGGAACTTTTAAGGAAAACTTTAAGCTTAAGAAAAAGCTCGGAAAGATCGATCCTCTCTTATTACTTAAACTTTTAGTAGATATTATAAAATAAGAATAGAAGAAAAAGGGCTTACTAAATATATAGAGTATATTAAATCTAAATAAGATAGAAGAGGTAGCTATAAAGCAGATTTTAAAGAAGTGCTAAGCGTACTACTATTCTACGTCTAATAACCTTATTTTAAAGAGCTTTAATAATCTAGTTTATACTAAGTAGATTCTACTACAGCTAAGAGTTTTCGTTAATTATATAAGATATAATACCTTAATAATACTCCTAGGGTATAATATTAGGATTCTATTATTCTTTTCGCCTGCGGTAATAGCTAGATTAGTATATCTTAATAGAGAGCGCGGAATTACTTAGGGAATTAGCTAGTTCAACGCTATATAGATTATATCGAATAATACGTTAATAACGCCTGAATAAATTATAAAAGGATCTCTACCTAGCTAGATCTTTAGCTAATAATTATATATCTAGAATAACTAAAAGAAAAGCGAAGATATACTTATTCGGATTAATAAGATATTAGATAAATATAAGTTCGTTTACTTAACACTAGACGCTCTAGTGTTAAGAAAGAGAGAGTACGATAAGAAAAGGAACCTAATAAGAGTATTACTCTTAGTATTATCTAGCGTTAAGACTATCGACGAGCTAAAGAGACTTAGCGAGCGTAGTATCAGATAACAGCTATTCTAGGGAATAATAGTAGATCTCACTTAAAAGACGAAGTTAGCTTAGCTAGCTAAGTATATAAATCTGCTATATCAGTAAAAAGATCTGGCTCCAGGCAGCCGCCGGCTAGCCGCTAAAAGCGCTATTTTCGCGATTTTTAGCCTAAGTTGCATATCGATTAATTTAATAGCTAGCGACCCCTAAGGCTATATATAGTAATTTAAATTAACGACGTAGGCGCCTAAGGCGACTAAGGCGCTATAGGTGCTTATAAGCCTAATTAGAACTAGCGTATAAAATAAAAGTGAGTCCGATTTTTTATTTATTATATAAGATATATTAGTAAGCTTAGAAAGCTAAGTAATACTAAGAATACTAAGGATATTAAAGGTACTTATAAAGGTATACCTTATAAGGGGGTATTATTAGGCTTATATCGCCCGATTAGGCAAGGCGGTAGCTCACCTCTGCCTAGAATTTACTCGAATCGAATTATAAGCACGCTAGCGATTTTTTAGCGTGGATATTCATAGCGTTAAAGGCTTAGCGAGACTAGTTTTAAGGACATGCGTAGAAAGTGCAGGTCTTTTTAAATTCTCAGTTAAAATCTACGCTAATCTAACTGTTTTTAGTTAGTTTAAAATCTAAAAATAAACTTAACTTTTAATTTTTAATTCTAATTAAAAGTATTATATCTTTCCTAATTAGGTCTAGTTTATATATAAAAGTGGGTCTTATAAAGGGCGCCTAGAGCGTATAAGGCGGCCTTTTATTATTTAAGGCCGACGTACGACGGCCTCTTATATTTTAAGGCGCCTTAAGCGTAAAAAGCGACTATTCGGCGAAAACAGCGAAAATAGCGAGTGGCACGTGTACCCGGCGCCAGAATTTTTTACTGATATAATCGTTTTAAAAGGTCTTTAGACTTATAAGGATACGTATTTAGCTGTAAAGGTAGTAGTAACCACTTCTTTACTATACCCGATTAGGAAGAGTCTAGAGCTCGGCAAAGCTCGGTAAGACTCGGTAGAGCTCGGTTAACTCTGAAGGGGTCTACCGACAGTTACCCACTTAGTTATACGCAAAGGGAAATAGCTCTACGCTACTATAGGAGTTTACGTCAAGTTTTACGTTAAATGTAATTAGGCCTAATCGGGAATAGCCCGGGGAATTTGTCTATATAGGCTCGAGCGCCCTCTATGGAATCGAGGGCTCCTTAGCTTGATATTCGCGCTAATAGAGAGGTTATCACCTGATCCGTGGTTATTTCGCTCACGTGCTAGCTAACGCTAAACCGTGCTATTACATTAGCTACGTAATATACACTATAAGTTAAGGCTATTATCCTCTCTAATTATAATAGTCGTACTTTTAATATAGCACCTCCTACTATTTATACTCTCTTAGAAATCAGAAAGTACTACCCTAAGGTACTTAGTAGAATTAAAGTGTAAGTCGATAGTAGTATTAAGAGAGGTACAGATATTATAAAGACTCTATACTTAAGTGCAAAGGTAGTAAGGGTTAGATACGCTACCTTATTTAGTATAGGTGCCGATAGCACAGAGAGAGTAAAGAGGACTTTTAAGAGTAAGTAATTAAATAACTACTATAACTACTAGTGCTATAAAGATAGGACATCACAGGGAGTACTGCCTTATATACTAATCAATAGTATATAGAGATAAAGGTTATCTCTTAAGAATCTAAAGCTATAGAAGAGAGAGAGGCTTAAAGGCTCTCGAAGCTATATACTCTAGAAAAGGAGCTAGCTGAGGCACTTCCTAAAGGGGATAGCTGTAGCCGAGCCAGCCAGGGGTAAAAGGGAGGTCTTCACACTCTATATACTACGCGGCGTCACACCTACTTAAGAAATAATATACTAATTATATTATAGTCCTTAAAGTAGAGATAGAAATATATATAAGACTTCTTAGTACTAAGAGAATCAGTGATTTAAGACTAAAGAATATAAGTATCTCTTCTTATTTCTCTCTAAGGAAATTATTAACGAGATATAGATTAATTTATAAGCTATTAAAAGAGATATTTATAATAGTAACATTAGATTAAAGAAGCTTAGCCTCTAAGTTAAGGCTAATTTATAGACCTTTAATTACCTATAGATATATTAATAATAATTACTATTCTAATACTATATCTCTTTAACTAATTTTTCGAATTATATTTAGTGTAAGCTCTTTTTTATAGTATCTAGCTCCTTTGATATATATTAGCTTATACTTTATACTAGCTACTTTTAGAAGCGAGGGAATTTCTTTACTTCAGTTATAAGTTTAGCAAAGGAGCTATTACTGCTTTAAAGAACACTACTAACTACTACTAAGTGTGAGTTTTAGAATTTTAGTCGGTGGCGTAGGGTCCTCATATTAGCTTTACAGAAGTAGTAGATCAGGATTAAAATTGAAGCATGTCAACGAAGCAGCAGCAATAGAATACAAATTCGGGACTGTGTAGCATACCGGCTCATGGTATGATCCTAGCATATGCCGCGATGTTTCTTTTCTGTTGTGAATTGAAGTCTCGCCTAAAGTCGGTTACACAGCGCTATATAAACAAGTGTTGATACAGTTGGAACAGATGATGCGGACTTGAAGGAGACGGGACTTTGTCGATTAACCTTGGTTGTTTGACCTCTTTGTCTCCAAATTCGGTTGCGGTACAAGTTTGAAAAGAAATCCACTTTTCTTTGTCCTGTTTAACGCTACTAGGAACTAAGAATGTGTTCTTGCGTTGCAATATAACTTTCTTACAATTCTGGATAGCTAAACTTGATAATTTGAGAAACGTGTAACGTTTCTAACTCGGTCGGTGTCGTGAGTATAGACTCGTCGGTTAGTATCAGCTATGAAGTAAGGTAATAAGACGCTCGATTCTTAATAGGAATTGAGACGTTATAAGCAGTGGTAAACTAGGTGTAAACTTGCTATTTAATTTGAGTACGAAGCTCTACTATCTAGGAAACTACCTACTTATTATATAGAACTTCCGACTTCCTGTGTAAGCTGTGTAAGACGTCTTACAGGGCGCGCAAGCTCGTAAGCCTGTCTAGTAAGCTAGTATATCACGTGACCTATGTCTACCGTGATCAACATAACTATTATTATAATAATAAGCGTGGAGTATAGTACTACTCGCTAATTCGTACTATTCTCTTGTTAGTGCTATTCTCTTAATAGTACTATTAACCCTTTAGTACTAAACACCGACTGGTGCTATCCACTTAGTAGTACCATTAGTATTATAGTGCTAACCCGTGACTTATACTAAGACTGAGCCTAGTTTGTGACACTATCCCCCTTCCAGCCTAGCGTGTCCTCACGCTTAAGTATACCTAAGGAAATATCGACGACTGCCTACGGCCGTCTTCTTCTTTTATTATGCTACCTGAACGCTTAACTAAAAGAGTCGATTATATTACGCTTAGGCGATAGATTGAATTAAGTGGAAAAATCATAGTACCTTGTACTAGATATAAAAATACGAATTACAAAGATTATATGTCGCCTCGCGATCTTAAACTGACTTAGTGTAGTCGATGTGCCTATCTAAATAAGATATGCGATATACGTACTGTGAACTATATACTAATAGCGTTAGATTAGGAGTCCCTTAACTCCTAGATCGAGAAGTTAGATACTAAGGAAGAGGAGGCGATAGTGAAAATCCTTCGTTTAAAGAAATAGAAACGTTTCCTCTATAAAAGGTAGCAGAAGATAATTACTGCTGAGCTAAACTTAATAGAAGAGCTTGACGCTCTTAAAGCGTTAGAAAAGGAAGCTAAGGAGAAGCGGAAGGCGGAGGAGGTATAGAAA